GTGGGCGGCGAAGCCAGATCTCCTCGTGCAGGCTGCACTGTAGGAAGGCTGTGCTGAAGTCAAGCGAGTGCAGCTCGTAGTCATGCTGAGCTGCGACGTGCAGCAACACCCGAAGAGTGGTCATCTTCGGGGTAGGGGAGAAGGTCTGGAAGAAGTCAACTCCCTGTCGCTGACTGAAGCCTCATGGAACGTAACGAGCCTTGAAGACAGGCGGAGAACCCGGCGGCCGCTTCACCCTGAAAATCCACATGCCATCGACTATGTTCACCCGAGAAGGGGGAACTGTGTAGACGTAGGTGCCTGTGGACTTCTAGAATTCCATCTCTGCGTCCATGGCTGTCTGCCACTGAGAGGAGTAGGGACCCGTAATCGCTTCTACGTAAGAGTGCGGGGTCAGGATGTCTGGTGCATCCGGGTCTCCCTCAGGGGCAATCAGCATGGCCACGAGATGAGGTACAGTAGCCGCAAGGCACTCAAATTCCTCCTGCCTGTCCTCAAGGACGTCCGTGCCACGGGCACACTCACCCCCGACGGACGGAGGACAGTCAGACTCAGACTCAGCAACAAGACTAGTGAATTAGTCGAGACGACAGGCAGCAGCAAAGTCAACAAGCTCAGCAACTAGGGTAGATGCAGCAGTGGACTCAAAAGAAGGGTCAGTGACAACAGTGGCGAGAAGACGTGTGACAGTAGGATTGGCGGCACGAGCTAGGTCAGACTCAGGGTCAGGAACGGCAGGAAGAGAGGACTCAGGAGGAGGCGGCAGAGGAACGCGCAGTGGAACAGAGGAAGGACGAAGTGCCATAACGTGAGTGCCGGGGACAGGAGGAGGACGCGGACGAGGAACCCGACGACCAGTGCGAACAGCGCGAACAGGCGAGGCAGGACCAGACTCAGGCTCACGACGCTCTATGAAAGAGTCTGTCTGCTCAGCGTAAGGAGAAGGAGCAGGCAGTGGGGAGTCTGGGTGTAACTGTGGCTGCGACTGGCGAGGTGGTGGACTCAGTAAGCTAGGAGGAAGGCCAGTAGAATACGGGAGACTAAGAACCTAGCGAAGGACTGAGTCAGGTGGCGACAGAGAGGACGGTGGCGGCAGAACAGAAAACGGGCGCTGCTGCACGGTGCCTCCAGCACCAGTACCGCCAGACGCAGCACCCCCAGCGCCAGCACCTCCAGCTCTAGGGTCAACAGCTCCAGCGCCTCCAGCGCCAGGGTCTCCAGCTCTAGCTCCTCCAGCTCCAGCGCCCCCAGCTCCAGCGCCCCCAACACCACCAGCCCTAGCAGCTCCAGTAACCCGAGCACCAGGGTCAATAGCTACAGTGCCTCCAGCTCCAGCGCCACCAGCGCCAGGGTCTCCAGCTCGAGCTCCTCCAGCTCCACCAGCCCCGGCAGCTCTAGTACCCCTAGTACGAGCACCTCGAGGACCAGCAGCTCCAGCACCTCCGGGACCTCCAGCTCCAGCAGGAACTCCAGCACCTCCAAGACTAGTAGCTCCAGCACCTCCAGCTCCAGTGCCTCCAGCGGTAGAGTCTCCAGCTCCGGCAGCTCCACTCCGAAGGCGTGTGTGCCGAGCAAACCACTCGCGCAACTGCTGCAGAGAAAGAGGCTCCGGCCGGGGAGACAGTCGTGGCGAGGCACCCGCAGGACCTTCAGAAGAAGCAGTACCCCTAGGCTCAGCACCCCCAGACTCCGCACTCGTAGGCTCAGCACCCCCAGACCCCGCACCCTCAGACTCAGCACCCCCAGGCTCCACACCCGCAGGCTCAGCACCCCTAGGCTCTGCACTCGCAGGCTCAGCACCCTCAGACGCAGCATCCCTAGACGCAGCACCTGTAGCAGCACCTGAGGCTACAGCGACCTCAACAAGCACAGTACCAGGGAGTGAGTCTACCTGAGACACACCTGAGGGAGCAGGACCCTGAGGGGGGAGGGGGTCTACTGGAGAAGGACCTGGAGCAAGGAAGAGCGGCGGGGGTGGGAGAGGGGCAGAGCGGTAGGGGAAGAGACGGTAAAAGGGAACCGACTCGTCAAACGTGATGTCCTGAGAGGGGAGGACACGACGCGAGGTGGGGTGGTAAAACTGCCAGCCAGGGGCGTCAGGGGGAAAGCCAAGGAAGACGCAGGGAATAGCGCGGGCAGAGAGCTTGTCCGCGGACGTATCGCGAACAAAGGCACGAGAACCCCAGACTCGGAACACAGAGGCATCGCCAACATTTCCCGTCCAACGCAGTGTAGGCGAGGTCTCTGGCAAGGAGACACGGGGCCAGAGGTTGAGCTGATGCGCACCGTACTGGACCGCAAACGGCCACAGAAAATGGGGAGCAGCCGCATGGATCATGGAGGTACGAGCGACCTCCATGACTAGGCCAATGCGGCACTCAGCAATCCTATTTTGCTGCGGGGAGGCTGGAAGCGTGAACGATTGGAGGATGCCCTCCCCACGACAAAAGTCCTGCAAGAGGTCGGAGGAGAACTCACCACCTCTGTCAGAGTGCAGACGCAGGACAGGAAGGTCCTGGCGGAACCACTCGCGGAGCTGCAGACAGACTGCGCGGATCCAAGGTATCAAGACATCAGGGACCTCACCCTTGCTGTGCAAGGGGAAGACCGTGGTGTAACGCGTGTAGTCGTCAACAACCAGCATAAACTAGCGCTCGCAGCCCTATCCACTGACGCGGGCTGGGCCCCACACGTCCATGTGAAGAGTCTGCAGGGGAGCAGTCGTCTGGGGAAATGAGGAGGAGTGAGGAGCGGCGCGCTGCCGCCCCTTGACGCAAGGAAGGCAGGGCGGGGCAGGCGAGGGCGGGAGGGGAGGCAGAGACCTGGGAAGACCAGAAACAAGGAGGCGGGAGTGCATGCCACGAACGCGTGGCAGGGAGGGGTGACCAAGGTGGTGGTGCCACAGGAGAGTCTGGTGCGACAGGAGGCGACACGAGCAGGGGGGTGCTACCGGACCTGACGCGGACACCTGGGCAGACGCAGCTGCTTGAGGAGGCTCGGTAGGTAGTGTGTAGAGACTCGACCCAGGTCGACGGGTGAACGTGGCCAGGTGACGGCCCGTCCGTGTACACGTGCAGTTTGACACAAGCTGACCCCCAGGAGTGGTGGTAGTGACCATCGCATCCTGGAGGGCACCAATACTCACCAAGTTCGTAGAGAACGAGGGGAGGTGAAGACCTGATAGTGAGCCAGACGGAACTGCCGGACACGGGAGAACAGTGGAGGAACGGGCAAGAACTGGGCCCCCTGAGGGGTCAGCCAGTCTGACCGGAACAAGTGCAGGGAGTGTGTCAGAACATTATAGCTTATACATTTGTGTAGGCTGTAGTGGGGTAGCCCATAAGGGGTACAACCCAATTAGGGTTAGTACTTGTACCCAACTGTTTGCTAGTTCATTCATTCTCGTTTGTTATTCTCACATGGAATCAGAGTAGGTTACTTGGGCCCACCACCTGCTACACTGCGACTACCTCCCTAGGCCCATCGCCCCTAGCCCCGCGCCCGGCCTCGTTCCTAGCCCCGCGCCCGGCCCGTACCTCGCCCGCGATCAGCCCGTACCTAGCCTACGCCCGGCCCCGTCTCTCGCCCGCGCCGGGCCCGTACCTAGCCCACGATCGGCCTGTACCTAGCCCGCGATCGGCCCATTCCTAGCCTCGCGCCCGGCCCGTCTCTCGCCCTCCCTTGGCCCGTACCTAGCCCGCGCCCGGCCCCGTCTTACGCCAGCGCCCGGCCCGTACCTAGCCCGCGACCCGGCCCCGTACCTAGCCCGCGCCCCGTCGACACCCGCGCTCGGCCCCGTACTTCGCCCGCGCCAGGCCCCGTACCTAGCCCCGCGCCCGGCGCCGTACCTAGCCCGCGCCCGTCGACACCCGCGACCGGCCCCGTACCTAGCCCGCGCCTCGTCAACACCCGCGCCCGGCCCCGTACCTCGCCCGTGCCTGGCCCCGTACCTAGCCCGCGCCTGGCCCCTTCCCTAGCTCGCGCCCGTCGACGCCCGCGCCCGACCCCGTACCTAGCCCCGGCCCATCGACACCCGCGCCCAGCCCCGCCCCTCGCCCAGCGCCCAGCCCCGTACCTAGCCCGCGCCCGGCCCCGTACCTAGCCCGCGCCCGGCCCCGTACCTAGCCCGCGCCCGGCCCCGTACCTGCCCAGCGCCCGGCCCCGTACCTTGTTTGGCCCCTCGGCCCCGTATCTTGTTTGGCCCCTCGGCCCCTAGCCTCGGCCCCTAGGCTCGGCCTCCTCGGCCCTCGTGTTTGGCCCCTCGGCCCCCTAGGCCCCTCAGCCCCAGTTCAGAGCCCAGCACCCGGCCCCGTACCTGCCCAGTGCCCGGCCCCGTACCTAGCCCGCGCCCGGCTCCGTACCTAGCCCGCGCCCGGCCCCTTGTTTGGCCCCTCGGCCCTGCCCCTCGGCCCCTCGGCCCCTAGCCTCGGCCCCTAGGCTCAGCCTCCTCGGCCCTAGTGTTTGGCCCCTCGGCCCCGCCCCTTGGCCCCTTAGCTACTGCTACTGCTGCTCCTGAACCCTGCGCCACTATGGCGTCGCTTAGAGTTCTCCCGTTCGACCCGGAGGGCAGACCTGTAGCATTTGACACGTGGCACGACGATCTGCAACAGTACCTACTGAGCGATCTGAAGGACAGTGTCTCACTGTTTGACCACGTGTCCGGTGCCGCTCCAGCCCCTCCCGCCACAGCTGACGTTTCGACTTGTTCCCAGTGGCTGTCTCGTGACTCTACTGCTCGCTTGGCCATTCGCAACCACCTGCCCGCGACCGAATGTGCTCACTTTGGAGAGCACAGGACAGCACAGGCCCTGTACGATGCTGTCGTTGCTCTCTACTCCTCCCCTGCCACTGCTGCTCTTGGCAGGCTGCTACTACCCTACCTGTTCCCTGAGCTGTCGGCTTTTGCCACAGTAGCGGACCTGGTTACCCACCTGCGCACTAGCGACGCTCGCTACCGCGCTACCGTCCCTGCTGAGTTCCTTCCCACGAACCAGCCCCCCATGTTCATCACCCTCTACTTCATAGTCACTCGCCTCCCTGACTCCCTTCGCTCTATCAGGGACCACTTCCTCACACTCGACCCCACCTCCCTCACTGTTGATCTCCTCGAGCATTATCTCCTCGCAGCTGAGACTAGTGCAGTTGCTGTAGGTGCTGCTCGTGGCACTCCATGCTCGCCCTTCTTTGAGGGGTGCTCCCCCTCCCCCCTTTCCCCCTCCTTCGCCTCTGCTGCTGCTGCAGACATCTCTGTTCCTGAGGACGTCGGTGATGCTTCGACTAGTGCGAAGTGCCGCAACAGCAAGGCCAAGGGTGGCCGGGGTAGTGGAGGAGGCAGCGGTGGTGGTGGAGGTGGCAGTGGGAGCGGTAGTGGGGGCAGCGGTAGAGGAGGTGGAGGCAGTGGAGGTGGTGGCGGCAGTGGGACTCGTGGTGGCGGTGGGGGCTCTGATGGCGGCGGTGGAGTCAGCGGAGGGAGTGGCGGCAGTGGAGGCGGTGGGACTGGTGGTGGTAGGTCTGGACCTCGGCGTGGAGGCCCTGGTGGTGGTCGGGCCCAGTAGCAGCAGCGTCATGAGCCTGCGTCTCGTCCTGTCTCGCCTGTTCGCACTGCTCGTCGCGCTCCTCGTTCGCGTCCTCCTCCTGTCCCCGGCACGCACACTATCGCACTCCATCCTTCCTCTATTCCACTGCGTGTTCCTCTGCCTGCTCCTCCTGAGTCCTCTCTTCCTGAGGTCCCTGACCCTGAGTCTGACCGAGCGCGTGCTGCCAGTCCCACTGTCGCTCGTCTCCTTGCCACTGCTATTACTGACCCGTACTTTGAGTCTGCTGCTGCGTCTGCTCTCGTTGCTGAGCTGCTTGACTTTGCTGCTGCCTGCCGTCTTGACTACGCCATTGCTCTAGTTGCTGAGTCTGTGTCTGCCAGTCCTCCGTCCGTCGGGGGTGAGTGTACTCTTGGCACGGACGTCTTTGAGGACGGGCAGGAGGACTTTGAGTGTCTTGCAGCTGCTGTACCTCGTTTCGCTTCCATGCTGCTTGCCCCTGAGGGAGACCCAGATGCTCCAGACATCCCGACCCTACGCTCTTACGCAGAGGCGATTACGGGTCCTTACTCTTCTCAGTGGCAGGCAGCTATGGATGTCGAGATGGCATCCTGGAAGTCCACAGGCACCTACGTTGACGAGGTTCCCCCACCTGGGGCGAACATAGTCGATGGCATGTGCATTTTCAGGGTGAAGCGGCCGCCAGGTTCTCCGCCTGCCTTCAAGGCGCGTTACGTTGCTCAAGGCTTCAGCCAGCAACAGGGAGTTGACTACTTCTAGACCTTCTCCCCCACTCCGAAGATGACTACTCTTCGGGTGTTGCTGCATGTCGCTGCTCAGCGTGACTACGAGTTGCACTCCCTGGACTTCAGTACAGCCTTTCTGCAGGGCAGCCTGCACGAGGAGATCTGGCTGCGCCGACCACCTAGTTTCACTGGGTCGTTTCTTGCAGGTACTCAGTGGAGCCTTCGCCGGCCAGTCTACGGTCTCCGCCAGGCGCCTCGCGAGTGGCACGACACACTCAGGACTACACTTGCGGCTCTTAGGTTTGCCCCTTCTACAGCAGACCCGTCACTGTTTCTACGCATCGACACCTCGCTGCCGCCGTTCTACGTCCTAGTGTACGTCGACGACCTCGTCTTTGCCACGGCTGACACTGAGGCAGTGACCCTTGTGAAGTCCGAGCTGCAGAAGAGACACACCTGCACTGACTTGGGTGAACTGCGCAGCTATCTTGGCCTGCAGATCACCCGGGACAGAGCACGGCGCACCATCACACTGACTCAGTCACACATGGTGCACCAGGTCCTTCAGCGCTTCGGCTTCCAGTACTCCTCGCCACAGCTCACTCCTCTGTCTACCAGCCACTCGCTCTCAGCTCCACCTTTGGACGAGTCCGTAGAGTCGAGTGGTCCGTACCCAGAGCTTGTGGGTTGCCTCATGTACCTGATGACTTGCACACGACCTGACCTCGCGTACCCTCTCAGTCTTCTGGCTCGCTACGTGGCTCCCGGCAGGCACCGAAAGGTGCACTGGGATGCTGCGAAGAGGGTACTGCGTTACCTGTGCAGTACGTCGGGCATGGGGCTTGTGCTTGGAGGACGGGGTCCAGTTGTCCTCACTGGTCACGCAGACGCCTTCTGGGTTGACGAATCAGCTACGCAGCGGTCGTCACAGGGTTACACCTTCAGCCTTGGGTCCGGCTCTGTTTCTTGGCGGACTACCCGCTCGTCTTCGGTTCTCAGCTCCAGTTGTGAGGCTGAGATCTATGCCGGAGCCATGGCTGCTCAGGAGCTACGCTGGCTCACCTACTTGCTGACCGACTTGGGAGAGCAGCCTCGTTCGCCTCCAGTCCTATACGTAGAAAGCAAGGCCATGATTGCCTTGTGTTAAGAGCACAGACTGGAGCACAGAACGAAGCACATCGCTCTGCGATACTTCCTTGCTCGAGAGTTGCAGCAGCGTGGCCAGCTTCGTCTTGCGTACGTGGCCACTCGGGCCAGCACTGCTGATGTCTTCAGCAAGGCACTTCCGCCTAGTGATCATCAGCGCTTTGCTACTGTGTTAGGCCTTGTGCCCACTTTGCCCCACTTGCTCACTGCTTGACCCTGCTTGTAGTGTGATCTCTATATATACCTGCATGCTTGCACTTGCTAGGGTATGATCACTGTATTGTCTCTTCCCTTAATATAACTCTGCATGTGAACTGGCCTTGTGGCCCTTTGCTTGTGCTCGGACTGTGTGGTGACTTTGTGATCCACCCTGAGCTTGCTTTGTTTTGCTTTTCTTGACTGGTCTTGTGACCACTTGTTCTCCCCCACTTTGCCTATGGGGGTGTGTCAGAACATTATAGCTTATACATTTGTGTAGGCTGTAGTGGGGTAGCCCATCAGGGGTACAACCCAATTAGGGTTAGTACTTGTACCCAACTGTTTGCTAGTTCATTCATTCTCGTTTGTTATTCTCACAGAGTGGAGTGAGAGTGGTACTGTCGCGAAAGAAACAGCGGGAAGCACCTGAGTCAAGCGTAAAGGTGTGCAAGGCCTTAGCATGCACAGTACCAGGGAGAGCAGAGTCACTAGCACCTAAAGCAACCGCCTCTATACCTGGGTCGGGCGGCACACACAGGTAACAGTCACCCTTAGCACTAACAGACATGGCATACATAGCAGCAAGGATAGCATCATAGTCAAGAGCAAAGATATCAACTCCAGACCTAAGCAACTTTGCTCAGCGGGGGCGCTCAGCCTCGTCACCAAACTCTATGCGCCATGCGTCGTCTAGGCGGGAGAAGCAGTGGTGCTGAGTGTGAGGCTTCCCGCATGTCTGACCATCACGGTCACCCGTGCGAATGACATACGGGCAGCTAGCACTACCCCCAGACACCCCACGCTGAGCAAACCACTCATGAAGCTGCTGGGGCGAAGGGGTCTCGCTCCGACGCTGCTGCTGCTGCCTCTGGCCACCGCCAGAACCTCCTCGCTGAGTAACTCCAGCCCGACTGCAACCACTCCCACTTCCGCCACTACCGCCACTCCCACCGCTGCCACCACCGCCGCCACCAACGCCCCCACTCCCGCCACCACTCCCACTGCTGCCACCACCTCCACTACCTCCACCACCTCCACTGCCGCCCCCACTACCTCCCCCGCTGCCACCTCCACTACTCCTGCCACCCTTGCCCTTGCTTCTGCGGCGCTTCCCACTAGCAGAAGCAGCTTCGACATCCTCAGCACCAAGGACGTCAACAGCAGCAGCAGAGGCGTAGGAGGGGGCAAGAGGGGAGGGGGAACACCCCTCAAAGAAGGGCGTGCAAGGAGTCCCACGAGCGGTACCTACAGCAACTACACTAGTCTCAAGTGCAAGGAGGTGCTGCTCGAGCAGGTCAACAGTGAGGTCTGTGGGGTCAAGTGCGAGAAAGTGGTCCCTGACAGCGCGAAGAAAGTCAGGGAGGTGGGTGACTATGAAGTAGAGAGTGATGTACATCGGGGGGGGGGGGGGGGGTTCCTGTCAAGGAACTCTGCTGGGAGGGCAGCGCGGTAGCGAGCGTCGCTAGTGCAAAAGTGGGTAACGAGGTCCTCTACTGTGGCAAAGGCGGACAGCTCGGGAAACAGGTAGGGTAGTATAGCTCGGCCTAGAGCAGCAGTGGCAGGGGAGGAGTAACGGGCGACGACAGCATCGTACAGTGCTTTAGCAGTCTTGTGCTGTCCGAAGTGAGCGCATTCGGCTAATGGCAGGTGGTTGCGAATGGCTAAGCGAGCAGCAGCGTCACGGGTAAGCCACTGTGAGCGAGTCGCACTGTCAGCTGTGGCGGGAGGGGCGAGAGAGGCTCCAGACGTGTGGTCAAACAACAAAACGCTGTCTCTAGAGTCGCTCAGTAGGTACAGCTGTAAGTCGGACGGCCCTCATGATCGAACGTGAGTACACGAAGAGAAGCCATAGCGGGCAGAGCAGGGTGGCGCGCTACCAGCAGAGCAGCACGCAGGCAGGGCAGGGCAGCACACGGCTAGGGTGGCCAGCAGCAGGGCGGGCAGGAGCCGGGCGGTGTAAGCAGCAGGGCAGGCACAAAAAGGGGCAGCGAGCGGACTGCCAGAGGGCGGTGCGCATGCTGCAAGGGGCGGCGAGCAAGTCGCAAGGGGCCGCGAGCGGGCTGCAAGGGGCGGCGCGCAGGCTGCAAGAGGCGGCTAGCGGGCTGCAAGGGGCGGCGCGCGGGCTGCAAGAGGGCGGCGAGCGGGCTGCAGGGGCTGCGAGCGGGCCGTAAGCGGGCGGCGGGCGGGCTGCAGCGGCGGCGAGCGGGCTGCAGGCGGGCGGCGAGCAGGCTGCAAGGGCGGCAAGCGAGCCGCAGGCAGGCAGCAAGCGGGCTGCAGGGGTGGCAAGCGGGCCGCAGGCAAGTGGCGAGCGGGCGGTAGGGGCGGCGAGCGGGCCGTGAGTAAGCGGCGAGCGGGCGGCAGGGGCGGCGTTGCGGGCCACAAGCTGGCGGCAAGCGGGCTCCAGGGGCGGCTAGCGGGCCGCGAGCAAGCAGCGAGCGGGCCGCACGGGCGGCGAGCGGGCCACAAGGGCGGCGAGCGGGCTGCAAGGGCGGCTAGCGGGCCTAGGGGCGGTGGGCGGGCCGCAAGCGGGCGACGCGCGGGCTGCAAAGGCGGCGCGCGGGCCGTGAGCAGGTGGCGAGCAGGCTGCAGGGGTAGCGCGCTAGCTGCAGGGGCAGCTCGTGGGCTGCTAAGGGCAGCGCGACGAGCTGCTAGGGGCAGTGCCACGGCCAGAAGGGCGGCGCGTCAGTAGGGTAGGGCGGCAAGGCAGCTAATGGGGCAGCTCTGTGGTGGACCCTAAAAAAAAATTCGGTCCTAGCGAAGGACCTGCTCTGAAACCATGTCAAAGTAACGAACGAGGATGATTGAATTGAGATAGAGCTAAGTACAAGTACTAACCCTAATTGGGTTGTACCCCTTATGGGCTACCCCACTATAGCCTATACAAAGTAAGCAATATAACATGTTGACAAGTGAGGGGCATCAAAGCAAGCAGGGTGAACAAACGGCCACAAGACCAGTCAATACAAGAAGCAAGGCAAGCTCAGGGTGGATCTCAAGGACACCACACAAATTCCGAGCACAAGCAAGCGGCCACAAGGCCAGTTCAAGAGTTCACTAGGATATATATCAAAGCACAACAAGCAGAGCAAACACCAAGTCTACAGCAACCG